TACCAGCGACTGATGTGATCATCCAGCAACTTCACTTCGCACCGTGTATGGCCAATCGAGGGCATGCAATGAATACGGGAACCCCTGCATACTGTATGCCATCCTAGCATGTGTCTCCATCACGAACTGTCGCTGACATGCGTACTTCTCTATAGCTTTCCTGGACTGGCGAGCCTCCAATGGTGGCCAGGTCTGTAGCGGAGCGAAGCGGCCTCAATATCATGGCGACTGTGAGGGGCCTAACCATATCTCAAAGTCTCGATGGGGCAATGAGGCACTCCGTCTCTAAGGACGTGACCGCTCGCTCATCGGATTGAGCAACTCGACCCTGACCTCCCTGACCGTGCGTTCGTCTCACATCTGTCATCTAACTACACGCTAAACTCTTCTAGCTTGTCACGCGCTCTTAAACAAACGCCTACCAGCTAGTGCGGTACAGCCAAGCCAGACGGCCGAGTCCGTGGCCAGTGTGAGTATTCACTCAAGCTTCTGGGGCGAGCTGTTTTGAACGAGTTGCAGCATTGACCACCCAAAACACTGGAGCCATCGTCCATCAATGTTCCCTGCTGGTCCACGTATGCTTGACCACTCTATCGGTTGCATACTTGCTGATGCTTGTAAAAGGGCCATCGTGACGGCTCATAGTTCGATGACGAGATCGAGACCATTGCCGCAGACACGGTGAAGGTACCATGTGGCGCCAAAGTTGTCACCATCGTAGGTGCGCATGAGCCGCATATGAGATCCTGCACCATACTGAGTCGCAATTGCAGGCGAGGCCGCATTACTCAGCAACCTGAGTTAGAACCCGCCTTTGACCGCGTCCATGCGGGGAAGTCCGCACAGCGGCCACCCCAGCGGCCACCCCGCCACGAGCAAAACTGCACGCAGGCTCTCGGAGAGCGTACAAGCGGCGATCAAAGACATTGGTACGGATGATTGCTCGCTGGAAGCCCAAGACCTACTCACCTACTCTATCGTAGCACCTGGCGCATTAGTAGGAAGTAACCGGCCCTCCGATTCGTGCGATGCCGGTGAATCAGGTCGTTGACTCTGGGCTCAACGTACGTCCTTGTCCGACTACCTCATAGTCTTTCTCAAAGAGAACGCCCAGCGTCAAACCATCGCCCAACTGGCATTGGCATCCATCGACGTACCAGGGTCTGCCATACAAGTATGCGATGCTGTTCCATTCCCGAGTGCCTTCGCTGATTCTTTCTCAGGATGAGGATGGTAGTGCTTCGGAATCAAGATTCATGTAATCACAAAAAGCAGTTCACAGTAAAGTTATGGGATATCATGAATCGACCTGTTGTAACTGGGAATACTTCACGCGCTCCCCCGAGTCCGACGCTCTCCAGATAATGACTCGGATGTCTCCTTCATCGAACGGAGCTATGCGTCATGAAACCGACAATTTGCGAAAAGCGACGGTGACCCCTTCTGCACAAGGACGACAGCAGCAAGATGACAGGCGCACTTGGAGCTGGTGGTCAATGTGACCGTACTAGGTCATGGACGTTCCAGAAGCGAGGTAGACCACTTGAGGCGAATGAAACGCACGTTGTCTCTGCGCCTCATCTCATCTCAAGAACCCCGCCACCCTATGCGGGTACGTACCAGAGGTGACCACAAAAGCAATATATCAGCCCGATAAGGAGGCTTTATCCTCAGCGGTGCCGCCAGGTATTGCTTCTTCGTTTTCATAGCGCCAAACTCACCACGTAGCAAACATCATAGTTGTGCCCGAAACGCTGAGATTCCTGATTGGATTCTTCGACGCAACGGTGACGGTGACAGCGGTCCCGCACTCATCATACGGCCCAGGCTCCCCCTCGCCCTGTTTAGCTCCTTTGGACGTAGGCCAGATGTCCAATAACGCGTCCTCTTTGCCACACCCGAACTACTTACTCCGATCAAAGCCTCCCCAATGAATGACAAGATGTTCATCTCCGACGTACGAGGAGGTCAGGAGACCCTATGTCGCACTATCTGCACCAAAGCTTACGATAGCATGACGCTTCTACCAATGGGGTCGCTCTAAGTTAGGATGTCCGATCTCACCGGGATGAGCAGATGAATGAAACCTTTCCCGGCACGGCGATGATCATTCATACATAGAGAATATCACGAACTTCGAGAGATATGTCTTCTAAACTTGGGTACGCTGACCAGCAACGTAACTGGCCTCGGCACTAGGACACAGAGGAGAGTTCTGCACGATGATTGGACACTATCTATACCTAACATATCATGTAGCATGCTCCCATATCTGCACTCAGACATCTTGCAAGCTCAAGAACTATATCGTGATGCGCCACAGCAGTGCCACAGTGCCCAAAGCGCCCAAACCCGTCTCAGCTGGTTTCGGGCACGTTATTCACGCCCGAGCCTTGCCCAATTCAGCCCACCTCCTCGCTATCCGTGTAGCATACGAGACGATACGAAGTGTGAGATCGAGCACCGTCAGCCGTTACTTTATGCAAGACTTGAGCTAGACCGTTCGAGCGCATGCTGTGAATGTACGCATTTGTTTTTCACCGCTGAGGTGGCGGTAGGCGCGCGGGCCCGGCGGGCGATAGAGGGCAGGGTTAGGGTTAGCCCGTATGGGCCGCGCGCCGTTGGCGCGACGCACTTGTGGGCACCTCTCGCCTCCGCCCATCATCATCAGGCTGTCTCGGGGCTGAAGCTTGAAGCTTGACAACACAGACCCCTGCTGCACTTACCGTATGATGACGACGGCGCGAACCTCAAGTAAGAGAGGGAAACTAGATGCCGATCGAAGACATGATGTTGCCGCAGTCCCGTGCGAGGACAACGAGCGCCCTGACGACCCAAGGCTGGGAGGCGGCCTTAGGCAGATAAATATCGTACTAGGGCAAGAATATTGATAGTAATGCTTGGCGGGCCGTGCACCGGCGTATCGGGATGACAGCAATGTAGGGTAACCCACGTACGAACCACATGTGTATTTGACGTCAAAGAACGCAAAGCTCCATAGGTCTCATACAACGTATTATCAGCCTGGCGCGAGCACACTGATGTCAGTAGATAGATGCCGTTGCAAACGCTGGGACAAGCCAGCATGCCGCCGTTCGCGGGAGTTTCCTGCCCGAGGGTCCCCGAGGCTAGCCCGAGGTGATACAGCAGCGCCCCGGCCCTCTCGTACCGTTCTCCTACTACTGAGGTGCACCACACTTTCAATGTACCATCTTCTTCTACAGTATTGATGACTTGATGACGACCAGTCTCCCACTCCTTGCAGCGAAGCGTCGAGAAGAAACGTTTGTTCTGATACCAGATGCAATATATCAGAAGTCCTGTAGAGGCTGAATTCAAATTGACGGTGTATGCTTGTAAAAGACAGTCCAATACGCATGACACATAGCTCAGCGGCAAAATCAAACTGCTCACTCGCGCAACTGGCGCGAAGAGCATCATATTCTAAACGCGCCCATGTAAGTTTCCTCGGGTCCCTAGACCTTGCGCGGAAGAACGCCTGACCAAGAGGACTTGAGACAACTATCCCATAGCTATATGATTGACATGTCCGCACGACGCAAAAGCGCTTCGCATCCCTTCAACTATTGAGCCTCTAGCTACACGGAGGACAGACAGTGGGCTGGACACGCTGCGAAACGTAATGATTATTGTCGCCGAGCGCGCCTCGTACTCCACGGACTCAGTTTGCTGCGGTCCGTACGGGGATCTCTTCGCTACTTCCTGGTGTGCCCTTGATGCGTGAACGAGCAGTTGACGAGCTGGAGCGATAGGATCCTCGAAACGAGGTTCGGACTTGCGGAATTGGGTAACTCGACTGTCACGTAGGCCTGTTAGCGGATGAGCGAGCCTGTGAACAATGTCAATGATGTTGCGAGCGATCTCTCACTCTTGCGCTTTGTTGGTATCTTGAGCAACCAGTTGGACGTCCCGTGAGGACGCAGACGGAAATGTGCGGAGCTTTGGTCGTATGCGGCGAGACTCAACGAGAGTAGCTCCCTGAGCCAGCTACGCCAACTCATCGTCCAAATACGGGCACGAATACGTGTCTTATCGCGGGCAAGGGTCGAGTTCTTGCGGCTGCCGTTGAGAAGCCCGTCTGCGGAAACTTGGTGTCATCCGCGCCCCTTTGCAGTTGACGAAGCATTCCGTATGAGGTATGGGTTCTCGAAGAGTGAATTCCGAGGTGGCCGCCGTGATATGTATATCACGCGCGTACACATGAGTACTTGGGTGTCTGGGTGTGACACGAAGGAAGCTTTCGAAGTGGATTGAGCCAGCTGTTGGACGTCGGTACGTATATGGTTAAGCGGTCGAACTGTGGAATGGTCGACCGTGAGTAGTGAAGTTGCGGGGGACGATCTCGACTCTCGAAGTAAGGGATGCATTTAGTGTGGCAATGTGCTTTATGCCGAGTGCTGTAGACCAGTACCTATCATATCTGTAAGCGCCATTACAACAATGTCACTCGCCGAGTGTGCGTACCTGGTCGCCGCTCTGATTCTCCCGAACCGCCTGCTCCTTCGAGGACTCGCCCCGACATCTGACCGCGCGGCGTGCACTACGCCTTTCCTGATCAGTCAACGCGTCAGTGTCTATTCTGACTGAGGTCGCCATTCAAGCGTGAGACTGATGTCGTCTGCAAGGGAGGTGGAGGTTTTTGAGCAAGGTCGGCGCTCGCTGCCACCGGTCTTTTGGGCGCCTCACACGCCGCTGGATCATCCAAGCTTTGTTCGCGGACGTTCACGCTGAAACTTTCTTCGATCCACCTCGATGTCGCGGTAGACGTTGTGCACACCAGAAAGTATCGTGAACAAAGTTGAGTTCTAGGGTATGGGAGGATACAGTCTCTCTGATGCCCGTGCACATCGTGGCCCCACCCTCTTCGCCGACAGACCCAACCCAGGGGACATTCATGCTGACAACCATGCCACCCGACGTTCAGCCTCGCATATAAGACAGCCGGTGACTGCAGATAGAAAAGGAGCTCTCGGTCAGTATTCATGATCTTTTGCTTGAAAACGAAGACATACTCAGGTGGCGGAGGGCTCAACGCCATTCACCATCGGCAAACTTGGTGTTTCTCATCATTTCATAGTTGCGCTCTGGCATCTCCTTCGTCTTGTTCAAGTCGACGAGGTCTAAAAGGGGGGTTAGCTCAGCAGCAGCTCTAGATCAATGGCTGACGGGCGAACCAGACTCATCCTCAGGCGAACGTTGTTGCTCGAGCGTCGTGCTCGCCTCGATCGCTGGCTGATCTCCCTCATGAAAACCGGTAGTGATCTGGCCAGGGGAGACACAGGATAAGATAAGTCCCATCGAAAGGCGAGTCGAGGTGTGTGGGCGTGGAAGAGACTAGTGGCGGTCTGCAGACGCGGCGACAAGTTCGACGGCTCTCGGTCACCGTCCTTGCAACGTGACACGGTCCTATCTCCCTCACCCGCGCCGTGGTCAAGATCATCCGAGAGTCCTCTTGCGCCTCGAGACCAACCCCAGCGTAAACACTCCCGGTGCTCGAGGGCCGCTCGCGAGATTACTGATGGGATCAACGTTCGATATCCCATGTGGCGTCAAGAAAATGGGCTCGCAAACGAGACAGATCTGGAGAAGCGGCGGTCGCCGCGATGGCGCGAGGACGCTTCTGCCATTGTTGCACGACAAAAACCAGAGGGGTTGCCAGTCTCTGTCATGCATATACACCCCGACGAGATCGATGTCACCGGTAGTCATGGGCAGTGAGCGTAGAGGCAGCAACATCGACGCTTCGCCTTCCAGATCTCGGGGGCGAGGGAGGACCAGGGCCGGGAAATTGGAAAATCTGCGCCTCGTTGAGTGTTGGCAGATGCACAGTCAAGGTCGTCACGCACCTATCTCGCCACTGGTCGTCCGTAGTGATGGTGTCTTGAACTTTTGGTCGTGCAGATGATTCAGACTGATGCCATATTTCATAGGCGACTTTGGGATGCTGGGTATTCCGCATGTGTGTCGGGGGGAGACTGCCGACGGGCCAGGTCACCACCGACGCACGAATCGCCATGGTCTGACGGAGTAAAGAAGACCGAAACGATACTTCAGACCGTTATAAGACGACGTGGGGCCGGGTGAAGAACACTATCAAGCAGCATCGAGCGCGCCAACGAACGGATGGAGGTTGTGATCAGAAACACCAAACGCAGCTTCTGACCCCTTGTGACCGCAGAATAACGCTTGACTCACTTGACGCTTTCCCTCATGAGTGCCGGGGACTGATATTGTAGCCGCTGGTCTCTAAGAGCGTACGTTGTATTGTTCACTAGCGCGATACAGCTCGACCCAAAGCTGACGGTTGACGGCTGACGTAGGTGTACCAGAAATCAACCACAACTTGGCTGCCCATCATGCTTTGACGGTATGTGTTCGCAGCCAGCCACCCGCTCGCAAGTAGTCAACATTACTTATGATGTTCACAACTTGTCATACGCTCAGAACAGAGCCGCAGTGGTGCCAACAGTCCATCGGTCATACTCCCCCGGTCATCGAGCGAAGATTCGGGCGCAGGGGGACCATACCGTGCGGCAGCAATTTATATCACTTGCCATGCATCTCCTCACAACTGTGTAGATTTTCCTGAAACGATACAATGCGCGCGGCTCCTCAATTGCGACCCTACGTCGGATGCCGACGACTGGCAAGGCAAATGGAGGATAAGGAGCACGTGGGGCCCACAGTCGTCTTAGAACTCGTATCGGAGAGAGTTCGACGCGCGTAGAGACAGAGCAGGTGCGCATATGGAGTCTTCCATATGTCTCACGTCTTACTGACCTTGCGACGCGGCCAGTACAGGTTTAGCGACTTCAGGCCAGCGTTTCACGAAGTTCGGCAGGGGGTTCTAGGCGTTCTAGGCGTTCCTGACATCAATCGAATCTAGCTACCTAAGAGGTTGAATCTATGATATTGTACGTGTGCATCATATTATGACCGAGTACAGTAGCAGACTGTCGAAGATCTTATGAGGTCTCACTATGCAATCTCTTATGTCGACCAGATCTTTGGCGAGACTCTGCGCGGCAGCTATGCGCATCGTCCGTTTCGTCCCCCTTCCGTCATCGTCAAATTGCTCTTACCCTGTGTCTACCTCGTTGTGGAATGGACCAGAATGATGTGCGCGTAGATCGCTGCCTCCGTCCTTGCGGCAATGTTAGCGGTCCACTTACACGCGAATCCAATCTCGTGCGCCCTTGAAATCGAGGTAGCCTGTGACGTGCTTACTTTGCAGTCTGCACGACAACGCCCCTCAGCGCTGGCGATCTTCACGAACCCACTGCCCATTTCAAATCAACTTAAACTACGGCACGGCACATGTCTCCGAGTCTGGTACCCGCATCACCACTTGCAAGCATGCACGGCTCGTCTCATACGGCCGGATCATCTCCTCAAGTATCTTCCTCGCCGGCTCAAGTAAAGACGAATATAATGTCGAGCAATCTTCGCAACAGCGTTATAATCATCGGTCTAGGTCGGGCGTGGAAACAACCCGGGGAAGGCCGAGCTGGGCGCTGTTGGGAGGGACGGTCCACTTCCAGACCTTCATCCGTACATCGTAATCCTCATTCTCTTCGGAGTACCTCATTTTGACAGGGCCCCCCTACATGGAATCGCTGCCCTCACGATTGACCCCGAGGACGCTGAAACTTGCATTACAGTCTTCCATTCAAAGGCAATCCGAAGGCAGTTCATCGTCCGACCTGTTTTGACCAACGACCACGCGATCTGGAGCAAGATCGGCAAAGGGAGAATGTCGGACTGAGAAAACAATCGCGTATGAGCCGGGAGGTGTGGTGTACAACGCGTGGTCAGTCGGGCTGGTGTTCATTCTATCAGCGATGGGCGGGAGTAAGGTGTCGCACACGCCGATTTTCGCTACCGGAGGCAACACCATCGCCGCTTCCGAGTCACTCTGCGTACTGATACGGGTGGTAGGAGTACTTCTCCACCCGATCGTCTGAATCTCATCTAGTATGGACTCGGAGTACGCCGAAAGGAGGACCAAGTCCTGATTCTTGAAGATCGCTTGAGGAAACCGCCTACAACCGAATTTGGACCGCGGATTGGCTTTTGAATTGGGTAAACCGACACAGAAATTAATATGTTCAGGTCCCATCGTAGCGCAATCCTCTTTATGACATACTAGTTCACGAGCTCTTCCCTCGTATATCATCGTGAGTTGTTTGCGCTCATACACTTGCCGTCTACTGACGTTTTGGTCAGGAACATGTCGACCCCGGTTGCAAAGGTATAACGCCACTGACGTGACTTCTGACGATGGCGGTAGAGAAGTTGCCCTGTGATACGAATGGCTTCCACTTTCAACGAGCTCTATTATAGGAGAGGTATGCCTATCCTCACGTCGTTTTCATTGCATAGGTCCGCGCTCTTTCAGCGAGCCCTCATCCACGATTGCATAGTATGTTGCGCCTTGTGAGTTCAAGCGGCGACGTATACTGTAAGATAGAGGTTGACTGTATAGAACAAAGGCATGTGGCGCAGACCCCATATGCTGGACATACGTATGAAATAATTGCTAGCGCACCAGCGTCTTTCCGGAAGGCATACCAAGACACCGCGTCGCCGCCGCAGGGAAGTTGATCTACTATCGGGTGCTTGCTTCGCCCACACCCGCGCCTACTCTGATTGTGATCTGCTGACAGTATCGTTATCTCATGTCACTCCGGAGAGAGTGCAGCAGCGGTGATGAGATGAAACCGAGCCTTGATGTGGGCACAATAGAGGAAACTATGGGTGAATCTCCTACATCCTAGGTGATGATGGTGCGCCGTCATATCAATACAGAAGCCCCAGTTCATTTCCACGAGACTCGAAAAGCCTCCAAGCCTGCCTTAAGGAGTCTAGGCGATGTCTATAGATCCCTCGAGACGACCCAGTTGAAGGCCGGTGAGACTCCGCCAGTTGATAATTGCCACTTCTTTGAGATTACCGTCGATAGGCGCCTAGTGTACGGTAACATCAGACTACTAGGTCGTTCGCAATCGCCCAAGTAGTAGTTAGAGTAGCGTTCTCGGACTCGCCCGTACTCTAGCCTAGAATGCTTATCAGATCGTCGCGTCGCGCGCAGAGTCAAAGGGTTTTGGGAACGCGTCAAGCTGCGATCGCTAGCTCACGGGATCGCGTGGCGGGGAATGCCAAGGCAGCCAAGCCACTGACGAGTGACAAGAGTTGGCGAGTCAGTCTCTGTCTACTATGATCTTGCTCTCTGAGCGTCACATATCGTATCCCTGCCCTCCCATGACTGCGATAGCCATCGCGAAGCACAGGTCCTGCGCATGCGCCGCTTCATCTCCAGAATCCCCCTATGACCTTTGATCATCGTCTTTCAACCCGCCTCGACGTCGAGAATTGGGACCCATTCAGAAGGCTCGCAAGACGCCTACTGCGTTTCCCCTGCTACTCTCTACCCTCAGAGCTAGGCCCTGCAATCAGCATCTCACCAAGTGCTTCAAGTTAGTCGTTGAGACAACCGTCATAATGATCGACACCAGTCCCGAGGGTTGCCCATGGGTCACATCTGCCCTGCCGTCAGGCATCTCGAGGAGTACGACTTGTCCTATATATACGGGGCCGGCTTGCTCTATTGGAACGTAAGGAGGGGCTGTATTGAGGGGCGTAGGATGCCCTGGGAAAGGAGTGGGATGCCATCTTTGAACCGTCGCGGCCAGCATCCTCGGTCCGATTGCGTCCTCGGTACGTCTTTTGTATAGTGTGCACTCCGCCGCCCATGTAGAAAGCTAACGTCACGATAGAGACTTCGTCATCGGCGCAGGAGTCGGACCCGGCTGCCATTCCTTTTCCGTACGCTCGTCGCCAGGCCACCACAGCACTATCCGCCACGTCCACGCCTGACAAATCCACATTGCATTTTCCCCACCGAAGCCGTGGTCGCGCAACTGTCAACCTGGTACATGCCGCCGAGTGACCACCTGAGTGAGGTGTGGCAAGTGGGTGGTGGATACGAGGATCACGAGGCCTAGAGCCATGTATTCTTCAAGATGATAGCTTTCCAGTACTGGCGCACAGTGCAATCTCAGAGTCAACCATCGCGGACGGCTGAGGATCTCGTGAAGTGCCCGCACGCGCTATCACGACGAGGACACCGGTCTCAACGGAGTTGGTACGGGCCAGGGCTCAAGGTTACAACGCGCACCGGAGTACATAGTAGCGGTCTCCGGGGAGTGAGCGGGTGGTCGATCTCGCTTCCATAACGTTCAACACCCGCGACAAGGCGCATTCGTCGGGGGATCGGTGAGCAACGCCGTGAGCTCCCCCGTGAGCCAAACACCCGCGGCCTGCAGCGACAAGTGCTTCAAGCGTCTGCGCCTCGACTTTGAGGCAACCTGGGAGTCATAGTACGGCAGAGCGGTCGAGGACGGTGGTCTGGCGAGCGATCTCCACCTCTGAATCCGCGACGACAACCCACGCCAAGTACACTATCGCCGCGATAGTACGGAGCGCGGAGGGCAACATCGAGCGGACCTAGTCCCAGTATCAGCCGGCCCTCTTCATCAGACACCACGACGTCGAGCGATCTTGAAATGCCGAGGAGTCAGCAGGATGCCGTCAGCACGCGATACCCTGAGAACTTCGCAGAGCGCTCTCGCGCTACCAAACAGAATGCCTGACTGGTCCGCCGTGGACGATGCCAAATCACACCCAAGTCTTTCATTGCCCTCTGTCCCTGGTGCGCGTGCGCAGTCGCGTAACCCAGGATGAGATGCGTGGCTCGGGAAAAGTAGGGATAGGCTAGGAAGAGTGGTTCAGGGATGTCCGTAGAGAACTGCAGGAGAGGGCGGTGCATAGTGTTTGGCGGATGCAACTCATCGACAAGGGCCGCGTGCCGTGCTACCCAGTCCGCGCTGAAGGAGGTGGTGACCTTTGGAGATGAGGTCGGACGTGGACCAGCACAAGTTTGGGTCAACGCATCAGCAGATCGATGGGCGCTAGGGATTGTCTACGATACGTCAAGCTATCTTACGTGGATATCGAGCTGGAGGGCGACAGTGGACTGAGATGTGCGACGAGATGTTGTCGAGCTCCGCATGAGTGGATGGAGAAGGCCCGTAAATGGATCCACGTTTATTTCACAAAGGGATCACAAAGCTACAGACGAGGATCCTCTCGTGCGCGAATTGCATGTCCGATCCAAGGGGGCTTGGGGTATCGCGTGCCAGAAAACACGAGTGACTGCCGCGTCGTTATACCGATGTACAGACGTTATCGTCCTTTTTGTCTCGATCCAACGACTCGATGAGGACACGTACGAGACGCCAACCAGTGTGTTCCCCATGCTGCGCTCCATGTTGTCCGGTCTATTTCCAAGAAGGCGAAGAGTTCCTATCTGTGCCTACTCAGACGGAGAACCAACAGTCCCGCGTACTAGGGCGTCTCGACGACGGAAAGGAACGCACCACTGCCCGTCGTGTTCGATCCGAACCCGCCAACATCCCTCTTTGGGCGCACGTCCTCGTCTCCCCGGTGAACGAATCTACATTCCTCTTTCTACACATCGTGCGCCCGGCACTTCATGATAGAGATGCGCATCTCGCGACCGAGGCTGTTGGATGAGCTCGCCGGATTGTCGAAGAAGCAGGGAAAGAAGGCGTCCAGCTCAAGAGCAGGAAGGCGCGCTTACCCTCGGCGTTTTTACTACACCGCGGCCATGTCCAGCACTACCCAATTCGAGATGGCGCGTAGGAAAACAAGGTTTCTATCGGCCAGTTCCGGGCTCGTCACTCTGGAAGGGTGGGTAGTTACTCGATAAGACCGGGAGTGACAGAAGCTAGGCAAGGAAACCCCACGCCCATATCCAGACTAACGGTGGCACCACGCTCACGGAACACTTGCTTCACAAGAGAATTTGCGTAGAATCCTGCTCTAGGAGAATTCGCCGATCACTCTGCGTGCTACACGAGTATCTTACAGACCGGCGGCATAGCGAGCGCAGTCTTCTGCATTAGTTGCCTCGTACATGTGCAGCATGTTATAGCGAACGACAGGCAGTCCAACTAGCCATGTCGTGTACATACTTAGAGCCGTTTTCAATGAAGTGCATCGCGCGGCGACCTCCCAGAAGGCGTGGGCCAGCGGTGAATGCGCCACCGCAGCGGGTTTGATTCCCGACACTCCCACTCGACTGTACAAGTTATCTCTCTTCACCCATGCCTATAATTATGAGCACAGAACTTGTTGTGCTGTCCCGGAGGATCATTAAGCCTGCTGTTGGAAGTGCTAGGTTGTCTGAGCTCGAATACGATGTAAGCCATTATCGTCGGGCCCACGGGATCGAACCTGGGGACGCGTCGGCTCTGGGCCGTACTTCCGATTCGCGTTTCCGCACTTCAATGTAAACGGCTGTAAACGGACATACTCGCCCCTGACGCTGACTACTGATGCTGATTTTGTCTGACATTCAGCGCTATCCATTACCTGAGCAACTTCCTTATATGCGATGTTTCAACCTCATCGACGTCAGATCCCACCCCGCGTACATAAGGCCCTGTAAGAACAAATATCTGGTGTACGTTGCTCTGCCCTCTTCCGGGTCACGCTGGGGCGCCTGCTTTGGCGTCCACGAAACAGACAGACAGGCAAGTCAGGTGTGAGTGCTTCCACGGCCCATATAAGCCTATGTACTTGTAGACCTTGCAAACTCTACAACCCCGAGGACGTGCATACAAGCGCCGAATCGGCAGTTACAGGTGCCGACGATACACACGGCCTTGCTCGAGGCCCGTGAGTGTGACATAGTACTTGGTTTCATACGGGGAGAACGGAGTATCTTGAAGAGGTGACGCACTGAGGGCATTGGGGTGAATATGAATGAGAGGTAGTACTATCAGCCTGTAATCATGAACAAGATCGTGGACCCCGGAATAGATACACGGAGAAGATGCTGGTAGTGCCGTACAAGGAAAAGCGTAGACTCGAATAGGCAATGCACAGGCCATGAACCGACAGCATCGTAGAATCTTATTCTATTTTTCAATGACTCGATTCCAGACCGGGACCCCTCTCCTTCGCCAGATCAACATACTCTTTGTCCGCTTTGACACCGGGTTGCCTGCATGGGCCTCGCAGGATCAGTCGCTCTGCCGCGAGGACAGACATGGGGAGCTTACTCAGCCCTTCGCATGGCGTCTCGGGCGGAAGAAGCTACGACTGAGGGAATCCCTCGATATCTGCAGGCACTACAAGATGAAGGCCGTAAGCAGGCGACGCAGATGGAGTATGCAAATGACTTGCCCAAACTAATGTTGTAGTGACAAGAGAAAGAGCGGCGACCACCACCGCGCGCTCCGGCCAATGGGACCCCGGAAAGATAGAAACAGCGAAAGCGCAGAGGAACAAGAGGGCACTGCGTGGAAACATGCTCAGGATCTCGGTTGACGCTGAACTCACAGAGAGGTGACACTCACGACCACATGAGGAGAGCATAGGGGAGACTGTATAGGATGGATGGGAGTTCCAATCCGAAGTGTTGTGATTGCAGCCGGTGCATGATAGCAGTCTTGTTCTATCCTCATCGTAAGCAGGTGTAGCCCACGATGCCCAGGGGAACATCTCACCGTGCGAACATCCCCCGCATGGTCCTCACCACGGTGCACGCCGATAAGAAGCAAACCCGCCGCCACGCTTCCCAAGCAAGCAGCCATAGAGAAACGCACCAGCGTCGTCATCGCGGGGACCACAAGTGACGAACCGTTGAGGTCATTCACGGCATCATTCGTTGACCCGAGTATTGCATCATGTAGAGAGAGAAAGGCCAGGTTGGCATTGAGTAGGATGGTCGACTGATCTGAAGTGAGTTTGCGTATAAGAAATGGACTAAGCGGCCCCGCACATTCAAGACGAATTTCTGCCAGCCTTCCAAGAGCTTCCGTACGTGCTGTGCCCACTGTGATTCGTCCACTTGGATGCCGTCGAGAAAGAGGCCTCGGCAGTCCTCTAGATGCTTGAGGGGCGCATAGAATAGTATAGGCGCCGCCATGCGGTACAGAATCGAGTCCGCCCGGGAAGGAAGAACAGACTGGCCACGAAATCGCCGTACGGCGTGAGTGTTTTGGAGCTGGTCGAAACGCCATCGTTCTTTCAGAACAATGAGCTACATTCGATCATCGAGTAGCAAAAACTTGCCCATGACGCTGATGGTTCGCCCTGTCGGTCATACAACGTCGGCGGCTGACACCCTCGAGTGAATTCCGAAGAAGCGCACCTGCAACGTCCACGTAACGCCCGGAGCGTTCTGTGGGGTCTCAGGAACCCGCATCAGCCACAGTCCAAGCGGTGGATCCGTGATGCTCACTCTTCTGGAGGTAATCGAGCAAGTCGCGCAGCCTTATGGCCTCCTCAGCGGTATACGGAGGCGGGTATCGCGAAGGTGTGATAATAGGAACTGAAGACTTGGTGGGTCAGCGGAACCTCATGACTCGCATGCAAAATTACCTGCGGCACACCACGCTAAGTCAGCGGCTATATCTGCGTGCGTCTCATCTGGGAGGACGGCGGCGCTTTCGGAATGACATGGATATAGGGCACGATATTGCCTACAACGTTTCAGATTCAGAAAACTGCTCGAAAAGGTCAAGCGTACCAATACATAGCCTTCAGGAGATGGCCTGGAACAAATGTCACAGAGTGTGGTGGTGTGAAGAAGCACCGGACGCACGTAGATGTTCCGTAGAGAACGCGCCAAAGCGTTGTGCGATGCGCCTGTTTCCGACGGGGTCACATTCGCGCATCCAGAAAGGCATGCAACGGACGTGATCGATGAGATAGTAGCTGGGGTTTACGTAGTATACTACAGAGAATGACAAGGCAGAGCGCTCACCTCCAGATGATCGTGTCCGCCTCGACATCCATCTTCACGTTGATGACGAGTTCGAAGTTCTTGTCGACAAACTTATGCGGTAAAAGCTTCATATGTTGCCACATATACCGGGCGAACTCTGTGATTTCATACAGCATATCTTCGCTCAAGAGGTATGCTTCAGTGAGTATACGCTGTGAGGGAATGAGCTCCTATCATGTCCTCAATGGCTATGCATGAGACTCACGAATGGCCCACATTCTCCTTGCCATGCTTTGTGAAAGTATAGTGTCCCGTCCGGGTGCAGTGCAAGGATCCAGCCTCCACGCTTCGTAGGGTCAGTAAGCACCTGTCCAGGTGGGCACGACCGTCTGCGGTAATATCAGTCAGGGTGATACCCTGCTGAAGGTGACGAGGATTATACTGAGGAGATTCAAGAGTATCGAAAGCAGTTAAAGTGATTGGAGGGCGTCTGTCGTGCCTGTAAATGGAGGCCACGTCAGCGCATAATAATAAGGCACGTCATTCAACTCACACTAGCACTTGTTCGGTTGAGCGAGGAGCCATGAACGGATCCGACTCTTGTAATACGCGCCGATACGTGTGGCCAGCTTTATCAGTAACGGGTGGCGGAGAGCCGAACGTGTCCGTTTCGGGCATGCGTTGGATTTTAGCGTCTTGCGGGGACTGGCGGCATAGTGATCTGCGAGTATCTGATACGAGAAGTTAATGCATGAACTCTCTACCTTCGATGGACAATACCAGACTGGTTCGGATACTCCACCTCCATGAGCGTAGTCAAACTGTCGGTGAAGTGACTGTCATCAATTGTATGCCCTAGATGTGTATAAGCGTTAATGTATCGAGCGCAGCGGGGGAAGGTGCGCACCACTGCCGCCTTCGGTCTCCGCATCCATTGCAGGTGTAGATATGCAACGGGCTTCCGTGACGGATACGAAGAAGTGATCGCCGAATGAGACCACGAAAAAGAGCACTCCTCATGGGCAATGGCTCGCCTGATATACCCGGCGGTTGTTTCGTGGGTACGGGTGGACTTTTATGAATGAGGCGTGTATCGGGCCCGCGCTCTCGGGTGTACTGTGAATACGGGAACTTGGGATATTAACAGCAGTTGCAACTTCAACCAACAGATGTCACCTGCCTTTTTGTTTCGCGATGTGTGCGCGTTGGCCCCATTTTCGATGGTTCACAATAAGCCGGGAGACCGCATTCGGTTATTGACACGGGTATTGTGATGGTCAAAAGCAACCTGAAGCCACATGTGCCAGCAGCGTGTCTGCTGCGTGTACGGCCCGGACTCCGCCGGCTTTTGCCGTTCTGATTGTTTGAAGCAATCGGCAGACTCCGTAGCCCCACTATATGCTTATTTGAGCATCTCTAGAGTGTCTAACTCGTGGGGCGACATATTCATTTCAACCTTGAAGAGCTTTCTCGAGCATTCAAAGGCCAAGTTCTTAGACCGATACCCTGTCGAGGATGGCGATAGGGTTCACTGGAGTCTCAGATGAGCTTTACCCGAGACTCTGCCAAGTTCCTCAACCATTCTCGCTCAGCATGTCGTCTCAGCTGCATCTTGTAGATCTTAAGTGATACCGCCGCGCCCTCTAACTCGAGAGCTTGCTTTGCAAGGATGACGCGCGTTCAATGTGAGCTGTCAGTGAGGCCGGTGCTGATACTCCACCCCTTTCTCCGATCCGGCAGAACTGGGTCCACGATCCGCACTTCTCTTCGACCATTTGAAAGTGAAGTACGCTATCCCAGTGTGGCGCTAGCGTCACTAATCCTGGCGCGAGAATCCTGGCGCGAGATAGTTCCATCCCTCCTCTGTCTTCCACATATACCGATTCGCGGGTTTCTTCAAGTCACCCTTCTGATACGCACAGTTCTCTGTAGCATCGCTCAGTTCATCTATTCCACTGTAAGCAGAGACGCACCACCTTCAGTTGACGTGATCACTGATAGTGCACCTAAGAGGCTGACGGCAACACTTCAGACCGCCGAGGCTTCCTCAATGATATGCTCATCATCGGCCCATAACCCTGAGCGGCGAGACCGAGCTAGTCCCGGGCCACACTTGGAAGGTATGTGTCAGGAAGTCCAGCCGAAGAGAGAGGTGAATCTCCACACATTGGGCTCAACGTCAAGATTCAAGATACGGACAACCCCGCTGCTATGCCTGTGCTGGACGGTGATAGCGGCGAACGTGGTGCAGATGAGCACCGAGAAGACTCAGCATATCTCCATTGTTCCGGCGTCTCGCTCCGCTGTGTGACTGAGCTATATTAGTGTCAATGGTGGCCTTCGTAGACGGCATCCATGAGGAACATTTACCGACGTTGTCAGCTGGGGCAAGCCTGGATGGTGAGGGTGCGCAGGGTGTTATCGATAGCCCCCATCTACACGGCGTCGCACCGGGCACTCAGTGTAGACGACGTCGATTTGGGGATATCACGCGGCCTGAAATCAAGGGGTGCGGCCCTATGCACGATGAGCCATATCTATAGACGCCTCCACGTACTATCGCAAGTTGTTGCGCTTCTTCCTCTCGAAATCGTGGCGGCGTAAGGATGAGCGTCTCCCGCTTCGCCCTTCGAACCCCATGCATCCTGCTCGTTGCTGGAGGTAAAGTCAGCTTCTTCAATGACGGTCTTAGGTCGTACTCTAGGTCGCCACTCCGTGTCCCTGCTAGCTCCTCGCGTAGTGAAGGCACGCTCGCAGACTTTGCGTCTGCGACTAAGACGTGTCTGGATAATGCAACTTCGAGCATCTCGAAAGCGGATACGGATGCTACACCCGCGGACCTTGAAGCTTTGAGCTTGAACTTCCATACCTCGCGTTCGGTGGGCGTGGTACGCTGAGCTTTACTTGGGAGCCTACGCTCTTCCTATAGACATGCCGTGGAAGGTACTGTCATGGCGGCGGAGGGTATCTTCGACCTTCTTGCGGGCGGGCAAGTTGCTAGTACAGGGTCACCAGTGCAAACATCCAGGGAGCCCTCGAGCTGGCCATGACTGTGCTGAGACGGTATCCATGAAGCATTCTAGTCGAGCTTGATCCGCGTCCAGATTCGCATCATGGTGGCTCCGGTGCAAGCGCCACACCGCGCGAACCCACGGGCATTTGATTTTGAACCACTGCCACCACCATGCCGCCTACCTCGCATTGTACTGCTTTCTCCAACCTGGTAGACAAGTTCAGGAGGAAGACTTAGGGTAGACGATACTCTCGACGCAAGGCTCGATTCAAAGCTCGCTGTTATATCCTGCTATGGGCCACGACAGATTTTCCCTCCGATATTCCACAATATCTTTTTCGACACATGCAAACTCACGCGCACACGCTATCCGTGCCACTGATGAACGATTCGTCGTACACTTCCGCTACACCTCCATGCCAACCGCGTGTCTTCCCGCACGCCGCATGCCACTCTACCGTTGCGCTACGCCTGCACTTACACCGACCGGCATCACTTGCTCGACAGTTGTGCCACACGATCCACATGTCCGACTCGGAGAGCTGCTCGGTCAAGCCGATTAGAGAGGGTCCGGATGAGATTAGCGGGACGAGATGGAGATGCGCAGGACGGTGAACTCAGGAGAGCCACAGCGGATGGAGCGCGATATGCCGGCCTACACGATCCTACGCCACTCATTCGACCAATCTTACGCCACTCCTATTCACTTTTTCTATCTGAAAATCGGCAACGTCGCCAGCCGGCCCGTTATGCGCCCGTGGGGCGTCTTCGTCGGACGATAACGAGCTTCCTTCGCCACCTCGCGATCGGTCATAGTACACGACCAGCACTCATATGACCCACTTCAAGCGCGCACGAGGTTTCCGGCCGTCGCAAAGCCAAGCCAAGCCGTTCCGGAGATATTAATAAGAAAGTCCGGGCTCGTTGGGGGAGATATTAAGTCTGCATAAGGGATAGTGAGGTAGACGGGTGAAGTCGTCGGACATTCGGGGGGGGGGGGGGGG